GGGTGCCACGTCCCGGCACAGAAAAATATTTTTGTTCGACCCTAGAAATACTCGGGTCGAGTTTTAATAAAAGTTGTGCCGCCGACGTGGCATTTATTTGCCCGGAAGTCCGCCCGTCGACCGACGGCAGAAACAATTCGGGCCAATCAGGGAATTTATAATTTGACTTCCACCGCTCGTGGAACGACACCCTGAGTCTAACCAGCTCGCATGAGCTCAGCACACTGCAACTTGAAGTTCAAGCTAGCATTGTGGCAATTTCATGGCGGTCAGTTTAATAGCATACGGAGCCGGGAGTACGGTAGTTGCAGCACCTGTTTGAAGTTGCAAGTGCCTACTTTCCAGAAGATCATGCTGCAAAACTGCAACCACCGGCCTTACCTGAGGCTGGAAGTAAACCCCTCAAAAAAGTTTACCGCAACCCCTTTTCTTAGGAACTCAGAGCGGCTGCCTCACGGCATAAGCACACAGTAAGAAAGCACATGGCCACAGGTTTTACGCCTGTGGGAAAGCCCGGCGGAATGGTGCGCCGGCTCGTGCCGTTTTGCGTCCTAGTATTGCTGCTGGTGCCGGCATTTCCCAGGTGCGAGGCTGGGGGATTCCCTGATCTTGATGATCTTGAAGGTATGCCTAAAATCTGAAACCTGAAACCTGAAACCTGGAACCTGGAACCTGAAACCTGAAACCTGAAACCTGAAACCTGAAACCTGAAACCTGAAACCTGAATCCTGAATCCTGAAACCTGAAGCCAATGCTGTGTGGGTCTCTTTGAGGTCTTTTGAATGCTGACATACTTGTTCTCTGGTGGCATGTTAGGATTCTGGACTTGTTTCTTGGGTTGTGAATGAGACAAAACTCAATTGTGACGGGTGACAGTGCTTTTGGAAGCTGTGTCTTTTCAGAAACGTTCCAAGAAAAACAAGTCCCACTATTGTAACCATGTTTGGAGTTGACCAGGTGTTGCGCTTGATGACATGGAGGATTGTTGCGATGAAGGCAATCTGTACAGGGGCATCTCTGGAAAAGTAAATTGGGCTATCTTTTTGTTACTGGAAGTGGGCACCGAGCATGAAACAAGTTCCTCAAAGAGGAAGTCTGCTGATATTGTAAGACTCCTCTTCATTACTGGAGGCTGCAAATAAGAGTTACAAATCTTTTGCCGGTTGAGGTAACCCCTTCTTTGAGACGCGTCGAATGGTGCTATGGCTGTCCCGTTGGGGGCTTCCTGCGACCTTTCCAGCAACATTCTTGGTCACCGTATGTCGCTCAGGCATAAGTGTACTACAATCTGGAAATTGCTGTCATTGTGGTTCAATCATGCGCCTCGAGGCAGTGAGGTAATGCACCTCCACTTTTGTTGTAAACATCTCCACATTGTTGCTGCCTTTCAACAGATTATTGGCGTCCACCTAATCAAACCGCCGCTTGCCATTGTCTCCCCTTTTTACCTCTTGCTGATTTTGAAAAGGTGCTTTGACCGTGGGCAACTCACAGTTGCTAAGAGAATGTGAACCTTTGGATCATCCCCGGATTATTGAACTGGGACAACGCACATGCTTCTACATAAGCAGGGCTTTCTCAAGATGTTCCAGGAATGTGGGACCAATATGTCCCTTTTCAATCCCCTAAGTAGTCAAAATCTTTCACTTCGGGCGTCCGCAACCTCCCCCTTTTCACTTAAGATTATGTCTTGCGCAGTTTTCTCCCTTCTCCTGTCCCCTACCTACCAAATCGGCTGAGAATGTTGAGGGCCCCTCCAAATACTGACCCACAAATCCATTCTTTCAACCCAGACCTGGACGAGGCGAAGCTCGCCTCGCAACTCTTGCGCCTCGCCGACCTCCCCCTCTTTGCACAAAAGGCGCTCCTGCGTGTGCTCGGCGCGGGGCTGGTCGACCTGGACGAACTGCCGTGCAACATTTTTGGGGGGGTCAGCGCCTGCCAGGATCTCCCCCCTGATTCGAGAATTGTCCACCAGTGCGCGGGGGTGAACACGCGCGTGGACTGCGCGTTCCGGGGGAGCGCAATGCAGCAGGCGTCGGAGGATCCGGATGCGGCGCTTCGGACGCGATTGGAGGGGCTTGGTGAGTTTCTCTTTTCTAAGATTGAGGTCAAAAAGATGGTCTTTAAGTTTTCTGTTCTCTGAAGTTCGTGTGAAATGGTGTTTGTCCTAGGCACTGAAGATGTTAACCCCAGTGTCTGAAAGTGAGCATTCAGGCTTTCAAGAGGCAGGATTCGTCTCGCCTCTCCCACAAGCGGCGTTGCAAGGGTCCGCACTGACCTCTTTACAAGGGGCGTTGCACTTGAAAGACAGACAAGTATTGCTGATTTGGCGTTGTAGATTATATGTAACCTCTTAAGTCTATAATGTGAAGCAGGCAGGTCAGCATTTTCAGTTGCAAGCTTTGATGGCCCCTACAAGTGTAAGCTCTCAAATTTGAAGGAGGCTCCGATCTCATGTACGGCTGCCACGTGTCCTCCAGGCCACCGCCCGTGCGAGCCGTGCTACCAGTCTCTACAGCGCTTCTGGTGTGGTCAGGCGGTGCCAAAGTGCGGCACCTTTGATAAGGTCATTGATAAGATCCTGGTGAGCCACTCTACCTGGCTGCTTATACTGCCTGCTTATATTCTGGCCCTGCTAATATACTGGGGGCCTGTACGGGCCGCTACTATGTTGGCCGCTTACTGGTGCCAGGCTCTGCGTCAGCCTTTGAGTCTCTTCTTGGTGCCCCAACGCGCCTCCGTCAAGACTATCGAAACAATCAATGCGCAGCTTATGTGGGCTGATCATAAGCCGCTCGGCCGCTCATCCGGATCATTCAGGTCTGTTCAAGAAACCGTTTCTGTTACGCCGTGCTTCTCTTGGCACAGCCTCTGCTGTCCCACGTCTACGACAACACGCTCTCGAAAGTGTTCCTCAACGTCTCTTTTCTTGAGAAAGTAACCACCTCCTAGTGAGTAGCCTGGATTTGCAAATCCACCGTCAACTAAACCCGTCATTGTCTGGTTACAGCCCCTGCTGTCCCGGGTCGCCACCGACGAGGAAGACTACGACGATGCGCTTTCCGAAGCGGTGCCCGACATCTTGGGTGCGCTCTCCATGGGGCTCCCGTGCCGCGAGATGTGCGACGTCGTCACGCAGACGTGTGGATGCGGGGACCCGGAAACCTTCGGAGAGGTGCGCTTGTTTTTCTTCTCCTCCTTGGCGTTTCATTTGTATCACTTCCCTGGAAGGGGTCAGAGGGATCGGAGGAACATGACGTCATGGATTGTACAATCTTGTCAGTGAAACGTGCGGCTGTAGGGAGCCGGAAACGGCGAGGTGAGACTCGTGCGACGTGCACGCATGTCAGTCGTCAACTCAACTCCGTTTGTCACGTCTATTTCTTGGTTCCTGCTTTGGCCACAGTGACAAGAGGGAAGACATACCAGGTTCAGAAGCTATCAAGCTGTGCGCGCTGCGACCCAGCCATACGGCTGTGCTGTTCTGAACACAGTTTGGGAGGCTGATTGTGCCCGACGTCTGCCGAATGTCTGCCCGTTCTGTAACCGTTTCTATGGTTTTGAACTGCTCTAGTACGCTCTTCTGTCTTTCCTTCTACCCGGTCTTACGGTTTCCTGATCGATTGCACGCCCGTTCGGTTATTCTCACATTCGATACGATCAAAAGCATAGCTGCTTCTTTGGACCAGGTCCTCATGTCCGTCCACGAGGGAGCAGAGCAAGCCCCCGAGCCTGCCCCTTTCCTTGTGATCTCACGTACGGTTTCACGTCCGTTCGGTCCGTTCTTACATCAGAAAAGTTCAAGTTGTCTGCTCCCCTGATGCAGGTCCTCATGACCATCCACGAAGAAGCGGAGCAAGGCCCCGAACCGGCTTCGGTCTGTTTGATCGTCCATTTTCCAGCCTTTGTATGTACGAGGAAACGTGCCCTAAACGTTCAGATTCTTTTTGCAGGCTTTCATCTCCGTCCACGAAGAAGTGGAGCGAGGCCCCGAGTCGGCCTCTTTTCCCTCTGTTTTGCCCCTCCGCTTTCCTCTTTTTACCTTCAATATTGTTCACTAAGTCAGCTGCTCTTTCGATTCGGGTCCTCATCTCCGTCCTCGAAGAAGGGGAGCAATGCCCCGAGTCTACTTATTTTACCTCTGTTCCCTACCGCCGCTATTCTCCTTTACACCCAAAAGTTTGAGAATTAGCTGCTCTCGTGACGCAGGTTCTGACCTCCGTCCACGAAGAAGCGGAGGGATCCCCTGAGTCTGCCGCGCGCGCCGCCAACATGTCCTACTCGGCCGCGCGTACGCTCTTCAAGCGCGTCTGGGACACGCCCATCTGCGAGCTCTTCGCTCGGGAGAGCACCCCGGGCTTCCACGGAGTTTGCGAGCTCCCGCCCGGCGCGCAGTCCCCGTGCGATTGGTGCTCGGCGAAACGGCCGCAGGTGCAACTAGTGTGGCAACAAATGGTGGCCCAGGTGTCGCAGTCGATTTCGTCCATGATGAGCGCGGGCTTGGATCGGGTGATGTCACCCGGGCGGCCGCGGTGGGAGGGGAGGACGTGGGGCGGAACGGACGGAACGGAACGGGCCAGCAGCGCCGGAAGCGAGCAGAAGGAGACGGATGGAGGGAGTCAGGGTCACAGCTGGGTTTGGGTTTGGGTGATTTTGTTGCCTTGCGCAATGGCGTTCTTTGCGGGTCTCGGATACGCCAGCTACTACGTGTATGATAAGAGATATAATGTAGGGAGGCGGTACGTGGACCTCGGGGATATAGGGGAGGAGGATGACGACAAGTACTCTCCACCCATGTTGTAAAACTAAGTCGTTTGTGCCGAATTTGTAGAATAATCTTACAAGATTCGTTATGCCCATCAAGCGGCCGGATCCTAGGTCTGATCGCAACAGGTTTATAAAGTCAGCCAGAGGAGAGCCGGACTCAGGGAGTGCAAGCTTGCATGTCTCAATTATATGGCCGCCTCAAGTTGCAACCCTCATCGTTTGCGTGCTCCCAAGTCGGATATCTCAACCTTTGTGCTCGGTCAATACAGTGCCTGCTTATACCATTAGCTGCTGATGATTGCATCAACGGGTGACTCGTACAGATTTACGGTTTGCACAGCATGCTACAGCCCAGCAGCGCTGAGACGCACTGACTAGCATTGAAGTGTTATATGCATTTCAATATAATCTGTAGACTGCATGCCGGCATGATATGTTGGAGTACGCCGGATCTGCTCTTCAACGTACAACCAGTAGGTACCCAGAGAACCATGCTTTGAATTACAAACTTTTCCCAAGGCGCGCGCGAGGTGCTGCTGTTTCGATGAACCTGATACCACCATGCTCTCATGTTAGAATCTGTTTATACTCCATGCCAGCCTGGTATCCACCGGTGACTGCAAACTTGAGTCGACGGTTACATGAAGACGCGAGAGCTGTACTTAACTTTTTCGTACTGAGAGTAATACAGTAGTCATGCATGCATCAGTGCATGTGCACAAAGTACACCTGCACCGTCAAAGTGATTGCCGCAGCCCCAGGCTACTATTAAACTTATAGATGCGCCGCCTGTATGACATGGTCAACCAGGCTGCGAGCTGTTTGAGGCATGCCGCGCATGCTGAGTGACGTGATAGCTGTCGCGAGCCACAGGTGCACAGCCAGTTTTGGACGTGCCACATGCAGCTAGGGCCGCACGAAAATGAGTATTGACGACGGGCAACTAGAATTTAATGTGCGCGCCAGCTAATCAAAGCTTTCGTCACAATAATAAAGTCAATGAAGGCCCCCACAGGCAGAGGTTCCGTAAACATTGCCGGGCACAAGTACGTCACGTGCATGTTGCACAGCCAGGCCAGTAGGCGCACGGGCAAAGTTGGACCAGAAAGCTGACCACGTACATGCTCATCCCGGTGTCCTGCCAGAAGATTGAGCCGATCTAGTAAATAAAGTTGGGACAATGACCTCGAAGGAAGCCATATATTTCGAGTCAATTACTCGACACAAGTGATCAGTGCAGCAACATGGATGATGTTGGTCAAGGTTTAGATTGGTTCTTCGTAGCATTGATCTGCAAACTCCCGCAACTCTGCTGCCAACGTGTTCAACGTCTCCTCAGGGTTTTCAGCCAGTGCTAGATCTTCCACATGTGCTGATGACAAGAACTGGGCAGGCTCCTCATACTTGATCTCTACGTCTGGAAATGCACGTTGTAACGTGGTTACCCTTGTTGCTAGCAAGTCAATTGGCTTTTCAAGATACCTCATACCAACCTCTAACCGCTGCACCTTTGGACAGCAACTCATAACCAACGGTAGCAAGCTGAAGTCTTCCCTCTGGGTGATTGTTATTTGGACATCCATTAGAACATTGAACTTCATCGTTTGCAGGATCTTCTCGCAAGCAACAGTTTCGTACAACTGTGTGCACATAATACCCAAATGCAGAAAGCTTATCAAAGGCGACACCTTCTGCAGAAAGGTGGAAGCTCCACATGGCTCGCAATCGCTGTGAAAATCCTCCATCTCCAGCATCAGCTTCTCAGATGGCCCAAACGTGTCCAGCAACTTTCGTATGTGATCAACCCGCCAATCTCTTCCACGTACTTCCAATTTGGACGGGCTGAACTTGCAGTTCCGCAAGACTTGAATCTGATCCACAGGCCCGTTCAGGATGATTCGTTTCACTTTTGGTGAGTATATATCCAAGCGGTCCAGTTCAGGCACCCCTTTCAGACTCAAAAGATTTGGTGCATCAATGACCATTTGGCCGCTACTAACACTTAAGAACAGTACAAGCTTCTTCAAACTTGAGGACCGCAGGTGTGGCTGCGCCAGACCCGCACAGGATTCAACGCGTAGCGTTTCTAAGGCAGGCAGGTGCTCCAGCAGAGAGTGCAGGAATTGGTCACAGATGCTTGCACCATAAATTTTGCACTCTCTCATGTTCCTCCAAGTGGAGGTAGACTTCAGAGGCTCCTGGAAAGAAAACCCCGCGTTCACTAAGTAGAGGGTCTTCAAAGGCAACTTCAACAGCACCCGCTGCAGGTGATCAGAGGCTTTGACAGTCTGCGAAGTCCCGTTCCCAAACAAGGCAAACGTGCTCAAGTTGGGGCACTGCCTCAGGATGGCGGCCAGAAACTCCACAGATGGAACTGCTTGCAGTTTTCTCGCTTCTGCTCGATAAGCCCTCTGATAATGGAGGCTCAGACTCTGAAGATGCACCCCAACATGACTTGACATGAATACTCCCATCAAAGAATCTGCTTTTTCAAACTCCCAAAGGACGTGGCTGGCCCCTGCTAAAGTGTTCAGGTGGTAAAACCTCTGACAGACCAACGACAGCCTGGCGAGCAACTGAGAAGAAACCCAGGCCCCTGAGTCCTCCATGTGCGGAAGCCCCCACGCCCAGGCTTTCTTCGACTCACAAGCCTTGCTTAAGATCTTCAGCACAACCTCGTTGGGCAATCTGTCAAAGGGACTTCCGCCAATGTGCTGGTCCTTCGCCATTGTCTTACAGCCAGATGAGGAATGCGCGCAATGTCCTAGGATAGATCGACAGCTTCTACTTGAAGCGCAACCCTGCGCAACACACTTCAAGAAATTGAAGATTTTCGACGTTCGAAGTTAGTCG